CACATATTGTTGAATTTGGTTTGCTAATATTTTGTTGAGCATTTTTACATCTATGTTCATCAGGGTTATTGGCCTCTATTTTTCTTTCCTTATGGTGTCCTTTGGTATCAGAGTAATGCTGGCCTCATGAAATGAGTTTGGAAATATTACTTCCTCTTTTGTTTTATTTATTTATTTATCTTTAATCTTGACCTAAATTTTGATTAAAGCCTTTTCATTTTAAGAAATTACTTTTTAAGTGATACATTTCATATGACCAAAACAGATAAGGTTTTTTAGGGGCCTAAAGTACAGGAAATAAATCATGATCTCAGTATAGTTCTTTTTCAAGATCTGACAACTTCAGTAAACTTATGCTGTTATGGTACATTGACATCTAATATAAAGAGCAAAGTCAGGGATTTTATAATCAATAAAGCAACATTACAGTGAAAAATAGTATACAGCATATAAATATACCTGTGATATATTTGGCCTGTGAAAGTGCTAGCAGTTAATTTAGAAAAATTCAATTGTAGGGCACTTTTTGATTCCAGAGATTACCTAATAAGGTGAATTGGGTGAAGGGATGGAATAGTGAATATTTGACAGGTTTTCTGGTTATTTACCACTCTTTGAGTTGATAATTTTGTTTCAGGGATTTCCATCTCCTTAAGTTCTAAATTCCCATCATAGAATCTAGAAAATTCAGTTCCTCAGTTTTCTTTACAGCTTAGCATAGAATTTGACATAGGTGAAGTATATTCACTCATATTCAGAAATGAACTTGAGAAAAGACAGTTGGCATAGAATCTCTTTTGCAGGCAAGAGTAGCATCAGTGGTTGCAGAGTCAAGTTCCTGATGTAGAAGCGCACTGGTGTGGTGGCAGGAGCAAATGTAGTAAAATTGAGTTTCCAACAGCATCTCAAAATGTAGCGTCTTGTTTCCGTGGTGGTAGAATTGGTGGCAATTTCTTCTCTTGCCCAATAGGCAGCAGTAGTTTTCATCATCAGGCCAGTTTTGTGGTATGGCTTTGTACATTGTTGCTGGAAGCTTAGCCTTAAGCCTGCCTGATTCTTAAGCCCTCACAATAATTGCATGAATTAGACTAATAACCTTTTTAATAAATGACTTCTGCTTAATCATCCAGAGTCAGCTTCTGTTACTTTTAACCAAAAACAACAGAAGTTGTTACCAGAAGTGAGATAGTGAAAATTACACAACCTAAAATGTGAAATTAGTTGAATGGAAGGCAAGGCCAGAGGGGGATAGGACTGTTGTGGACCTGACCTTTACAGTCTTTAGGCTGGTGGTCCTCGTTATGTAGTGATGAAACATGAGGTCAGTGCCTCATTGTGTTTCTTGAGGCACAGACCAAGTACCAGCTGAGGCTACAGCAATAAGACAAATAACCAAAATGTCAAGGTGTTCTGGTTATTTCTTCAAGCTTTCAGCAAAATTCTGAAAAAGAGGATGAATGCAGATTAAGCTAGTTGGTGCAAAGCAAATATGGAAGGAAGTACTATTTTGCTAAGGGCACTTTTCTGTCTACATCCTGATTGAGTCTTATACTTGAGATTTAGAGTCTGGCAGTGTTGAAAATGAGAATTGCTCTTATTCACTAACCCTATAGCCAATACAAGCAGGGGGCTTTTGAGTTCTGACATGAAATAAAATCAGTGCCTCAAGCCGTTCCCACTTTCTAGACAAGGATCAGATATACAATGCATTTACTCAGTGGGGCCTACAGTTTTTCATACTTTAAGGAGTATCCATTAATCTTAGGGTTGGGGAATGGGCAGAACATAGAGGCCATTACCAAAGGATGAAAATCTCCATGCTTAAAATTTTTCAGGGTGTTTGCCTGTGGCTACTTGTACATAGAAATGACTAGAAAAAGATAATTTTGAATGGAGTATATTGCCAAGAAACCCCAAGCCTGGCTAGCTCACTTCAACTCCTAAGGCCATCCCTGGGCCCCTGAACTCATATCAATAGAAAATGAAAGCTTCATAGCCTCAAAGAAGGGCATCTCTCCCAGTATCCTCACCTCTGGGAAGCATTTCCCCAGTATACAGAACCAGGAGCCTTGAAGAACAATGGACAAGAGAGGGTCTTTGAGTCTCCCAGAAAACAGGATATATGCTACCAGATTGACTGACTAAAGAATTTATTGCTTTGCCAAAAGCAAGGGGTCCTTGTTCTTCCTCTCCAGCAGCATTTAGGATTTACTGTGGAACAGTGACTGCATATGTTTCCTGGTCCAGGTTTTCATTGCTGTATCTATTTACTCTTTACGGTAGTCCCATAGGTAACTACCGTATGGGCTCTGGCTAGACCTAATGGAAAGGCTAGCACATCAGCCAGAAGTACTCAGTTTGAATCTGGATAGGACCTTGGGGGTCAAGTAGTAAATGGATATATTCCGTATATGAAACAAAGGGTATATATTCATGTTCTATTCACGTAGCCAAGAGGGTGTACTGCTTGTTACCGCAATATCCATTCCCTCTTACCAGCTGAAAAATTTTGTTGGGGTGCAGTGTGCCAAGCCAAAAAGTAAAAGTTCTTTCTCAGACTACATGACACCTTTCTGACCACCTAAGCAGTTGTGTACTGGATATTGTTGTAAGAAGGGTATTGTTTTCCTGTTAAAAAGGCATAAGTCAACCTAGCAGTCTTCTTTTGCCCTTTTCCCTTCTCCCTGCCTGGAGTACAGATGGTGATGTCACAGCAGCAGTAAAGACAAAAATCACATATGAAGGATAGCAGAGCAGAAATTTAAAAAGAGCCTGGCTTCTTAGTGGTAGTAAAGACCTGCAGTAGCCCAGGATGCTTTAATCTGTATCGCTTGATATGTGAGAAAATTAAATCTCTTGTTTTAAACTGTTTGTTGGACTTTTGGTTAATCTCTCTTTTCCACCAGATTGTAAACCCCTTGAAGTTAAATAGACGTTTTTTGTTGTTGTTGTTGTTGTTTTTAGATTATTTATTTATTTATTTGAGAGAGAGAATGAGATAGAGAGAGAGCATGAGAGGGGAGAGGGTCAGAGGGAGAAGCAGACTCCCTGCTGAGCAGGGAGCCTGATGCGGGACTCCATCCCGGGACTCCAGGATCATGACCTGAGCCGAAGGCAGTCGCCTAACCAGCTGAGCCACCCAGGCACCCAATAGACGTTTTTTTTTAATTGAGGTATAATTGACATAAAATATATTAGTTTCATTTGTACAACATGATACCATGTTTGTATAAATTGCAAAATGATTACCACAATAAGTCTAGTTAATGTCTGTTTGCTTACATAGTTACAAATTGTTTTTCTTGGGATGGGGACTTTTAAGATCCACTCTTTTAGCAGCTTTCAGATATGCAATACAGTATTATTAACTACAGTCACTATGCTATACTGAAGAGACTATTCTGTTTTCATTTCTGCATTTTCATTTTGTGATATAATGTTCAGCATAAAATGGCACATATATGTTTGATAAGTGAAACAATTTACTGCCATTGCTAATATGTTAAAACCTAAACTATAATTTGCTCTCTGGTGGTATCTCCAAAGATTGGTAGAAGCAGATGAGATATAAACAGTGGTTAAATAATAATTACTTAGCTGATTTTCATTTTGGTAAACCACATTTATCATCTGGCTCATAAGAACATTATTTTAGTTAGATCAGGTATTTTTCCTTTTCAATTGAATTTGTTTTAATGATACCTTTTTAAAAATTTTTTTAATAATTCAGATTTACAGAAAAGATGTAAGAGATGTTGAAGGGTATGGAAATTTCCTTTACCCAGATTCCACAAATGCTAACATTTACCACATTTGCTTTATTATCCATCCCTCATTTTTTTCCTGAATGTTCTGAGGGTAAATTGTAAACATAATGCCTCTTTACACCCAAATGGTCATTTTTAAAATCATGACAGCCCACTAGGATTAGATTTGGAGAAAGAGTATATTTCTTAAAAATACTTTCATATATGTTTGTTAAAGTTGCAAAGATATTCTCTTATAAAACCACAGTGTAAATATCAAAACCAGAATATTAACATTGATACAACTCTACCATTCATATGTTTTCATTTGTCCTAACTTGTCTTGTCTAGCAGAAGAAAAATATTCCCTCTGGTCTAGGATCCAATTGAGGATCACACAAATAGCATTTAGTCACTATTTTTTTAGTCTTCCTTAATCTGGAGCAGTTCCTCAATCTTTCTTTGTCTTTCCTGACCATGATGTTTTTGAAGAGTATATCCAAGTTATTTCATAGAATGTGATATGAGCATTTTGATCCTGATACCTGAATTCACCTCTCCTGGAAAAAAAAAAAAAAAAAAAACGAAAAATCATTGATCTTTACAAAATTTTTTATCTTAAGAGCTCTCACTTGACCTCCAGTAGGATGTCTTACCGAAGACTTAATATTTTTTGTTGTTGTTGTTTGACTGAGTTTCTTAGTGGGGCACTGTTGACATTTTGAACAGCATAGTTCTTTACTGCACCAGATTGTCCCATACATCTCTGGCTCCTGCTCTCTAAATTCCAGTAGCATTCTCACTTGGTGTGACAACCCAAAACACCCCCATTTGAGAACCACTATTCTGTAAAATTCATTGAGAGTCTTTAAGTTAGGAAAATGGTCTTGCTTTTTATATAGTAGGCAGTTTAACAAATTTTCAAGTTGATTGTTTAAATTATCAGTAATCTCTCATCAGATAGGTGATAATGTACATTAGCCGAATTCTGTTCAGGTAATTAGTTATATTTAATAAATCATAAAAGGTTAAGATGATCATAGATGTTTTAATATAATTTGAAATGAGAATCCTGTTAACAGTTTTCCATTTAAAATCAAGGACTTCACTTTTGAAGTTATCTGAAATGAAATATTTCTGGAAGATTTACCTTAAAATTCAGTATTTTACTGTTAAAAATTTTAGGGGGAAATGAGAATGTTCATTTTATTTTAATTTTAATGATATCAATTGTTCTTTTTGTTTTTCTTTCAGAATTGGTCCCTAGGAAAGAGCTCCTTATAGAAAATGTGCCATATTGTGATGCACCAACTCAGAAGCAATGAGTTTTCTAGGATAAAATCCAAGTCTTTTAGTTTTTAATCTTGAGTACATAACTCTGGCAAAAGTTTTGGAAATGCAAGTATTTCAGAACCAGCCTATTGAAAATGAATGAATTAAAGTATCACTTCATAATTAAATTTCACATTAAAAGGACATTGCTGAAAACTGCAGAACATAGTTAAATATTCCTAGACAGCATTAAATAAGACATGTAATTTGCTTTAAAAATCAAACTTTATAAACTAAAATAAATGCTCAGGAGGTATATCATACTCATTTCTCTTTGACCTTGATGAGTATTTTGGTCTTTTTTTTTTAAGATTTTATTTATTTATCTGATAGAGAGACAGGGAGAGTGGGAGCACAAGCAGGAGGAATGGGAGAAGGAGAAGCAGGCTTCCCACGGAGCAGGGAGCCTGATGCGGGGCTCAATCCCAGGACCCTGGGATCATGACCTGAGCCGAAGGCAGATGCTTAACGACTGAGCCACCCAGGTGCCCCAGCACTGAAATTACTTCTGTAGCTAACAAGTAATTACTCAGTTTCCTTTCAGAGATAGAGTATCTCTCTGTTCCTGTAAAGACATTTTTCTAATAAGTCTTCTGAAGATAGATGAATAAAATATCAAAATCACCTGGGATCACTGTGGAATAAAGAAATCCTAATTTTTTTTAGCAAATAATGACCCTTAATCAAACTATGGAATACACCCTTAGTAGAAATAGTGTACTTAGGCCACAGCTAGACTTTATTGTGAAAATGTGATATGTGGCTACCTTCTTTCCATTTTAATAAAAAAAAGTTAAATGGCTTTTCTTCCACATATCCCATCCATCCCTGACGTGAGTGGCAGTATCACAAAACAGTGTGTCGTTCTACCATCTAATGGTGGGAACTAAAAAATTGCATTTAATATTCTTCGTGTTTCTCTTTTATCTGTGTATCTTTACCATTCTCTTCTTAGTGAACAGTGTGTTCTCTCCCATTCACTGAGCAATTCTCCCATTCAGTAATGATACAGGGTTTTCCATTTTTATAGGATTCTTAATGCAAGCTTTGTTGGCAAAACATGGGTATATCCATAGTGGATATAAAATGTCATATTTTAAAATAATTTAAAAAATAATAAAATAATTTAAAGAGATCAAAGATTTTGCTAAATTCCTGGCATATTACACTTAACATTAAGCCATTAACTATCCTTAATGCCTTCTAATACTTGTGAGAAGAGTGTTTAGTAGTCTGTGAAATGGTTTATACATGTCAAACGATTTGCAACATTAATTTTTCATCTCCCATGTGTAGTTATTATTTATGTGGAAATTATACCTAATTGTTTCATATTTGAAATTTGCTCTTATAAAAGAATGTTGAAAGTTGTCACAGTACAATCACTGATAAATTCCCTGACTTCATATTGTTTCATTAAGTATCTGTATTATATATTTGGAGGAAAGTTGGCTGACCTAGGTTAACTTAATATATTTTAATTATTTCAGTAATATTGAACATTTTTAGTAGTTCCTAGCTTTTTTCTTTTTTTAAAGGATTTATTTATTTATTTATTTGACACAGAGAGAGCATGAGCAGGGGGGAAGGAACAAGGGGAGAGAGAGAAGCAGGCTCCCCGCTGAGCAGGGATTCCCATTGCAGGACTCGATCTCAGGACCTTGGGATCATGACCTGAGCTGAAGGCAGATGCTTAACCAACTGAGCCACCCAGTCGCTCCCCCTAGCTTTTTTTTTTCTTTAATCTTAATTCCTGTGTTCCATTCTTCATTCACATTAATTTAAATATCTCAACAGATTTTTTTTTTATAAACTTACCATTAGGAACAATAGAGATTAATAATTCACATGCATATTTTATTAAAGCCAGTGGCTTTGAGATTTTCTTCAAGATACATATCTTGTATATATATAAGAAAAAAGATCGTGTTTATTTTAGCAGACAAAACTATAAAATAGTAATAGACTTTTTTTAAAACCTGTGTAACTTAAAAATGAAAGACATACTATGTTTCTAGATGGGACAATTGAAAATTATGGACATGAACAGTTTAAATGTTATCTATCAAAATCCCAAAAGGTTCAAGATATATCTATGTAAAAATATGTAACTTCTATACTCTGTAAAAGCTACTATAAAAAAAGTTTAGAGAAAATATTTGCTGCCAACATAATGATTAAAATAGTTTTAAGATATAAGTGCTCCTATGACTCAGTAAAAGATAACTCAGTGAAAAATGGACAAATGATATAAATAAAAAGTTCACAAAAGAAGAAATATTAAGCCTCTCTAGTGATTAGAGAAATGTAAATTAAAACAATATGAAACTTTTTTTGTTCATCAAATTTGCAAAAGTTAAACTGATCATATCCATTATTTGTAAAAGTAACATGGGTGTGAGGAAATGGGCAATCTCAAATATTTCTGGAAGGGATGTAAGTGATAGCCTTTTTGAAAGGAAAATTGACATCAAAATTTAAAATAAACGTATTGGGGCGCCTGGGTGGCTCAGTCGGGTAAGCATCTGCCTTCGGCTCAGGTCATGATCCCAGAGTGCTGGGATCGAGCCCCACGTCAGACTCCTTGCTTAGCGGGGATCCTGTTTCTCCCTCTCAGTCTGCCTGCTGCTCCCCCGCTTGGTGCTGTCTCTCTCTCTCTCTGTCAAATAAAAATCTTTAAAAAATAATAAAATAAACATATTAATCTTTTATCTCCATAGCACACAAGAATACTAATAAATGAACACTCAAATATAGGTATAGGAATTTCTGTAACATTGTTTATAACTGTAAAAAATTGAAAACGGCCTAAATTTCCAAATTTAGGGCAACAGTTATAGGAAATGTAGCTTTAGGATATTATGCAGGTGTTGGAAAGATTGATGCAAAATATATATACCGTCAAGTGAAAGAAGCAAGTCACAGAATATATGTTATCTATGAATCCATTTACATACAAAAGTATTTGTGCATATATACATATATATATACACACACACAAATGAATAGAAATCTACATACTTTAAAAAAAATAAACATGCTTAATGTTAGTACAGTTGACCTTTGAATAAGGGCTTAAACTGCATGGGTCCACTTATACGTGGACCTTTTTTTTTTTTTTTTTTGATAGAATACAGTAAATATATTTTCTTGTCCTTATGATTTTCTTAATATTTTCTTTTCTCTAGCTTACTTTATTCTAAGAATATAGTATATAATATACATAACATACAAAATATGTGTTAATCAACTATGTTATCAGTAAGGCCAACAAGTAAGCTATTAGTAGTTAGGTTTTGGAGCAATTAAAAGTTAAATGTTGAGGGGCACCTGGGTGGCTCAGTTGTTAAGCGTCTGCCTTCGGCTCAGGTCATGATCCCAGGGTCCTGGGATCGAGCCCCGCGTCGGGCTCCGTGCTCCGCAGGAAGCCTGCTTCTCCCTCTCCCACTACCCCCTGCTTGTGTTCCCTCTCTTGCTGTGTCTCTCTCTGTCAAATAAATAAATAAAATCTTTAAGAAAAAAAAAGTTATATGTCCATTTTCAACTGAGTGGGAGTTCAGTGTCCCTAACCCCCCAGGTTGTTCAGGGATCAATTGTAGTCAGGTAGGAGAATGAGATTTGGTGAAAGGACTGGTAAATTGGGGATTTTTATTATGGTAATTCCTGCATGCTTAAATATTTTTTACAGTGTGTAGATCAATGTATAATTTTTAAAGGACAGTACTTAAGCTACTAGTGATTTATTTAAAACTTAATTATGAAATAGTAAAAATATTAGCATCTAGTGTATCAGACACTCGTGAACCTCATTCCAACATTTGACAGAGGTTACATTTTGCCGTATTTGTTTAAAGATGTCCTTCCTTATAAGTCACAAAATCTTATAAAGTTAAAGTCCCACTTCCTTTTCTTTCTCTTATCTCTTTTCAAGTATAATTACTGTTTTATAGCTGGTGGATATCATTCCCATACTTGTTTTTATACTTTTACCAAATGTATGTGTATTCAAAACAATGTATTGTTTTGAGGTTTTAAAATGAAAATAAATGGTGTTATGCTCCATGTGTTCTGTAACTTATTTTCATCATACTTAAGTTTTAAAGATCTATTCTTTTTTTATTTTTTCACATGGGATTAATCTATTTTGTTGCATAAATATCTGGGTCTTTTATGTCTTATTCCATTGTAAGAATGAACTAGTTTATCCATGTCTCTTGATGAACAATAGTATTGTCTTATTTTTTGATATTGCAAACAAATTTACCAAAAACTCCACATGGATTCTTGTACCCAAAGTTTATCTGAATTCATATGAGGAGGCAGAACCATTGAGGCATGGGGTATGTACATATTCAATCCTTCCATTTTAAATTGTTCTTTAAAGTAGTTGTACCAGGGCACCTGGGTGGCTCAGACAGATGGGTGTCTGCCTTCGGCTCAGGTCATGATCCCAGGGTCCTGGGATCGAGCCCCACATCAGGCTCCCTGCTGAGCGGGGAGCCTGCTTCTCCCTCTCCCGCCTGCCGTTCCCCCTGCTTGTACTCAGATAAAAAATAGGTTTTGTACCAGTTTATATTCTAGTCAGCACTGTGTGAGAGGTCCCATTTTTCCATATCCTCACTATTGTTATATATAACTTCTCTCATTTTTTTCCCAAATTGATGGATATGAAATGGTATCACGTTTTAATTTGCATTTCTGGATTACAGATGAAGTAATCTTGTGTTTATTGGTCATTACAGTTTTCCTTTATGAATGTGTGTTCATATCCTTTGTTCACTTTTTTCTCTTGGATTGTCTGGCTTTTTCTTACTGATCCCTTTTTATATATATTGGGTACTAATTCCTGAGTCTGTTACCTGTGATGTAAATGTCTTCTTCCATAATGTGTCTTGTCTTTTAACACTGTTTATATAAACCTGTAGTATGGGAGTTTATTTTAGTGTATCCATTTTAAATTTCTTTTGCTTTTGTACCTTTTTAAGTAATTCTTTTCTATTCCATAGTCAGAGGTGTTCTAATACATTTTCCTTTAAACATTTAAGTTTTGCTTTTTATGTTTGGTCCTTTATGCCATCTAGAATTTATTTTTGTTTATAATATGAGGAAGAGGTTTAATTTTATCCTTTTTTATGAGAAAAGTTTGCCTCAGCATCATTTATTGGATAGCCTATCCTTTTCCTGATTACGTGTAAAACAATGTGATCATATCCCAAGTTACTATATATTGGAATCATTTAAGGACTTTGTTCCTACTATTATCCCTCTCCTCCACTAAATCTTTATTTACCCCTCTCTCCACTGGATTGTTTTCAACAGCATTCAACATTCTGAAATATTTCCCATCTTAAAAAAAAA